TTTTCAAAATACTTTTAGCTCTAAAATTTCCTCGGGAAGGTGAAAGTTAAATTTCTCCGTCAAACTTCATTTGGGAACGATGTAAAGTTTTTCTCCTTATACAAATTAATGTTCTCTATCGAACTACTCTAGAATCAACTCTTCATATCAAAAAATGAAGTTTTTATTGAAATTTTAAAAATAGGGCAAAAAACCCGAAAAAAACTTAAAAATTTTTTTTATCAAAAACTATAAATCCGGGAACCGAAAGCTGTGTTGAGACGTATACTTCGAAGTGTCCTCCACAAACTGCTGGAAAAAAACGGGTGGGGGACTCCCCCCTTAAGACCAGACATGTGCGCCGATAAAAAATTTCCGGCGGCTAATGAATTTTTGAACATAGGTGCTACCTGGTATCAGACTAGTTCAAATGGATCTATTCAAAACATTTCAGGGACTGCAGCGTCAGCTGAACAAATTTTTTCCGGCCTCGGCGATGATAAAAGTTTGACGTTATGACGGCGGCGGCGGAAGTTACAACAATTTAATAATTCTTTTATTGTAAGAATAATTTGACTTGAATTAACTTAAATCAAAATTTTAACTAATAACATATTACGCTTGAAATGTTTTCGAATTCCACTCATACATTAAATGTTTTCATGCCACCACCGCCGCTATTTTTAAGAATTTACCACACCGAGCAAATTTTTCGTAGAAAAAAGTGACACTTTTTTGCAGAAGATATCTTTTAAAGCTTTTAATAGAAAATTATGGGTAATGAGCGAGAAAAGGTTCTGAAAACGTCGCATAATCAGTTGGAAAATGTAGAACAGCTTCATCTATCATGTAAAGTTTTTGTCTAATATCGTTGTCAAAAAGGTTATTATTTTTACTCGTTGTTTAACATTAGTTGACAGAACGAGATCTGTTACGCACATGAAATAAGAAAATTGACTTTTCCAGAATCATCACATGTTTCTTGCAAACATTCTTCAGACAGGAAGATCGATTGTGTAATTGTGTCTTTCCTACTTATATTATATTCATGAGCACTATCAGAAAAGTTTTTCGAAAGTTCACGCTGTACGCCACCACTAATTGCAGGTTGATGCCGTCGCATGCGTTATCTCAGCTTCGAATCACACTGTAAAAAATAAAGTGTGTTACTAGATGTATAAATCTTCTAAATGTTTATTCGAGATCGAAAAGTGTGTACCTTCTCTAGATGGTCAATCTCGGTGTGTAAAGAGCTATGTGTGTTAGAAAGATCTCTTATTTTCCAGTTTTCTCCCGAACTGTTGCATCAAATGAAAAAATAATTTCAGACCGTCATGATGACCGTCTTCGAAAGCATATATGCTGTCATTTCCAGCACAAATGGAGAAGAACAAAAAAGGGTAAAAGAACATCGCCATGTGGTAGATTTGAACAATCGGTTGATGAATCTGAGGCATTTCCGGCACAGATAGTTTAGACAAGTTGCCTATATCATTGATCTCAGTGTGTAGAGCCAGACGGTCACTTCTCAGTGTGTACTTTGCACACCTAAGTCGTGCATTCTAGATGGTCACAGGGAATCTACTTGGCGTTTACTTTATGTGTGTCATTTACACACTTTATTTTTTACAGTGCGGATAAGGGTAAAGGCTTATCCAGGGTGGCCGCGACAACGGGAGCAGGGAGGGGATCCCTCTCCACGCTTTTTCTAATCTTTTACTCCTAAATTCGGTAAGTTATTGCTCTGGAAATGAGATAAACAATTAGCACCATCTGATGTATGCTAATAACGGTAACAACATGTGGAAACAAAGAGGAAAAGCTTCTCAGCTCTGATTTAGTGCTGCATAATGACCAATCATTGATTACTAATTATAAATACATCAACATATGTTCTTTTTTCCTTTACAAGCAAAACTGCAACAGCTTGCATTTTGAAAGTCTTGTATTCTTCTTGCTCTCTTTCACTAACTAGCTTCCGACTCTCGAGGTATAAGCGCTTGCTCTTCGTAATAAAACGCCTTTGTCCGCTGAGTTTAATCCCAAAGTCAAAATTTGAGGTTCGGGTTTTCAATTAATTCATCAGGTCATGATGGTTAATCAGTAGGTTTTACTCTCAGATTTAAAGAAGTTTATATCTCAGACATAAAGTGCGGGTTAATGGAAACAACTAAAACCGGGAAAGCGTATTCGAAAAAGCACAGCAACAGATTTTAGAATAATTTAGTTGTTTTTCGCCGTGAAGTGTCTGCGAGTTAGAATAGAAATCAGTTCAGAAAATTAAAAATATGTTTAGCTTTATTGCAGAAACTTTATAGCAAAAAACTTGAGCATATGAAGTTTTTTGCAACTAAAATGACTTGTATGTCAAAACTTGCGTACTATTAGACAAATCAGATATTTACTCTCATTTTTGACATTTTCGGTTTACTCCTAAATCCCCTCCCTGCTTCTTTTACTTCATGGCGTTCCTGGGCTTATCCTACGTGTATTGCGAAAAAACACAAATAAAAGAGAAGAGCAACATATACTGAACAGTCAAACGTAATACCACAAAACATAATTAGAGGAGAAATGCTGCAGCGATAAACATTACTATAACAAATTGACCAATTTTACTGCGGTCCCTTTTCGCTGTGTTTACTTATCGTCTGATACACAAAAATTCAGAATGTTAGCATGAAGTTATCGAGCAACTTCTCTTTGAATTTCTTTTTATTTTGCAAATACTTTAATAGAAAACAAGCTCTATTTCCACAATTTGAAAGAGGTTTTAGTGTGATCGATACGATCTCGAGATAGTATCGCTCACACTAAAACCTCTTTCAAATCGTGTTAAATTATGCAATATCAATTGTTTTTGGAGGAATTCTACTTTCTCTGTATAGTTACAATCTTTTCTGTTGAAATTAATGCATACGCTTACTAAATGTTTATAGTTTGTCAAAATTGTAACGCTAATTACAGAGAAATCGTTGAGAAAGTTGGTTGTAGAAAGATTGTACTTTAAATATTTTAATCCTGCAAAGTAGGATGTCATTTTAATGAAAACGAGTGATTGATTATACCATCGAATTAATTCTAGATAAACAATGTTGTTGAAATAAGGCATTAGTGCTGGTAGTGACCAATTATGAGTAATGCTTGTAAGATTGTGTAGCTTTATATTTGATAAACATCGTATATTTGGTAGATAATTGAACATTTCAGTTAAGCAAACCTTCGGAATGGATGAGCAATTACGAAATTCTAATTTATTCAAATGTTTTGTATGTTCACTCAGATTAGGTATACGATATTTATCATGATGATTGATCGATACATTATTTATGATTAATCACGAAGATTTGGAAACAAAATTAGTGTTCGAAGAATAGATATTGATGAGATGCTCAAATGTTAATTTGTACCGTTAATACGCAAAATTTGAACCTTTTTACCGAATGATTGCATTGAATTTGCAATAAATTCATTCAGATCCTTGAGTGAAATGGTAAAATCATTTTGGAAGTAAGCGTAAGGATTCGTATAGAAATACACGTACTTTTCTCTTCCATATGACAATGTATAATAGTTGACTTGAGCGCTCGAAAATGATCGAAGAGTATGGTCAATACATATTTTTCCAGTTTTTAGGAGAAATCTAAAGTCACTTACTCTCGGTAAGATATTTCTCAAATATTGACTGTTCAGTTTACATTGATCAATGTCGTATTTGGTTATCTTCAATGATAAATGTTTAAGATTTGGTACATACGAGATAAACTTCTCAAAACTGTCAATATTTATATCAGTTAATTCTAGATCTGTTAGATGAACTAATTCAGATATGTCATCGGCCTCCTCCTGGGTGACCTATGCGTACAACCATGATTAAAGGAGATGAATAGACTGTCGGCAAATATTAGACAAATTGGAACAGGATGAGAAGAGTAATAAGAGGAAGGTGTGATGGTGCAAATTTGGGATGTTGTAGATGTTATGGTGGTGAACGGCAATTTAGACTTTTTTCTAGAAAACTAGCCGGAGCCGGAGGAGATGAGGGCGGCAGTATGAGAGTGAGTCACCACACAAGAAGTTCAAGTCGAGCAACGGCAATGGATGTTATAGGATAGTTAGCAGATCCTAAAAGCCTAAAACTTCTAAATCGTCGATCACTACTATAACATCTACGACATCCAAAAGTGCTCAACTTGAACTTCTTGTACGGTGACTCACTCTCATACTGCCGCCCCCTTTCCGATCACGTCTAGAGATATCAAACATCCAAAATTTGCACCATCACACCTTGATGAGATGAAGCGAATGATACAAAATAGCATAATACTCTTCTTAATTATAGTTCAACCTGAATCTCCATCATTAACTGTCGATGTAAACGATGTTCAAGAATATCACAGTGTCAATTTAAAATGTTCGGCGATTAATGGAAATCCATCGCCCACATTTAGTTGGTATCGTGATAATATACCGATTCAATCAAGGTAATGATTGATTCACTTGTACCTTAAACGATGTATCAAGAGTCTTTTAGAAACGTTTTTTGTTTTTATTATAATTTCTTTTCTTGTTTTTTATAGTTCATTAGTGAGAGACGTTGAAAATGGTTCCATTTTAACATTGAATATGACACGAAAAGACAATGGTGTGAAATTTGAGTGTCAAATATGGAATCCAGCATTGTCATCTCCACTTCATATTGAACAACGTATAATCGTTAAATGTGAGTATGGGATATTTAAACAATTAGTATATATGTGTGATACAAAAAAATATATGTTTAGATTTACCATATGTGAATATATTATCAAATAGTAGCCTCATACAATCAACCACAGATAGAATATTGACGATGGAACATATAGACGAAGAATTTATATGTGAGGTAGATGCAAATCCAAGACCAACAAGTATCTATTGGACATTGAATAATACGACAATAGTTAGTCGTAAGTATATATCTCAATTATCATATACAATTTTCAATTATTTATTTCTTCAGGTGAAAAAAGACTTTATTTTTATCGATTAAAGTCTGAACAAAGTGGCAATTATACGTGTATAGTAGAAAATGCTTTAGGAATAGTAAAACAATCGATTTATATTGATGTTCAATGTACGTATTTATATTAAATTAAAATATTTATGATTTAATAAAATATGTTTTATCCTAGATGCTCCACGTGTCCGATCTATCGATAAAATATTAAAAGTAAATCGTTCGGACCAAGTAAAATTACGTTGTTCAATTAAATCGTATCCAAATGCTCATGAAATTATTTGGTATAAAGATAAAATTGAAATTAGCCGTTATAAAATCGATAATGATGATAAAATCGAGTATCGAATTGACCGTGTCGAACGAAATGATACGGGAAATTATACTTGTATGGCAATTAATCGAATATCATTAAATAAACAACAACAACAACAACAACGCTATTTTGATTTAAATGGTAGTGCCATAATTGAATTAATTGTCTATAGTCGACCAGTAATGGAAACAACGTATTCAAAAATAGCTAGTGAAATTGGACAATCAGTTAAATTAATTTGTTCAGTAAAAGGGCAACCGACACCGTCTATTTTTTGGAAACATAATGGAAAAACATTAAACTGTGAAGAAAATACGAATGATTATTGTAAACTCAGTTTAAATTATGTAACAACAAAAGATTTTGGCGATTATAAGTGTATAGCAGAAAATTTACTCGGTAAAGAAGAATGGACATACACTCTTGTTTCGAAAGGTAAAATATTACAAAAGTGAAGTTTCTATGATCATCGTTTGATAATATTTTATAGGAAAACCTGAACCACCATATGATATACAAATCGATAAAATTACTCACTCATCATTTAAAATACGGTTTAAACCAGGATTTGATGGTGGTGATTATCAATCTTTCATTTTACAAATCAATAACAGTCTATCTGATATACCGAATAATACATTTGAATATACCGTTGATGGTAAGTAGTACACATAGAAAATTAACATTTTCTATAAGTTTATTCTTATTTTTTATCTAAAGATTTAACTGATTCTACAACATATATATTTCGAATAAAATCCCAAAATTCGTATGGTGTAAGTGAATGGAGTCCAGAAATTATTATCAAAACAAGTGAATTATTGATTTTGCCAGACGGTAATGTATTTAACAGTACGATTTAATATTGAACGTGATCAGTCTTATAAGCATATTAAGAATCAAAATATTAGAAAGGATTTAAATAAAATGTATATTTTTCTTTTAATTTAGATCTTCCCACATTACGCTCACTATCGTATGATTCTTCACGAAAATTTCTTCATTTCGATTATTATCCGGGTTATAAAATATCGGAAAAACAATTATGTTTACGTATAAATCAATCAACTGATGGTAAAACATTTGATACGGGAAATTTACATTCATCATGTTTGGATATTGTACACAATCGAGTGAACTACATTATGAACAAAGATTATTCACATTTAAAATTAGCTGTCTGTTTACGTGAAAAATCAATGATATGTGGAAATGGCATAGAAATGAAACATGGTTTGTGATAATAGATATCTGTTTAGATAGATATTTGCACACTACATCTTTTATTTCTTAATTCTAGATGAACGTGATCGAACATCGGCTCCAATGATTATTGGTATTGTTGTTATAGCCATATTTCTTGTACTGATAATTTTAATTCTAATGGGAATTTTACGTTATAGACGACAAAAATCACCAAAATGTAATAAATATTGAGCTTAAATAAATTCATCATACTATTCATTCTCTATTTTTTGTTATAGATTCAAATGAGACGAGAAAATCTGCAAAACCGTACGAACTTCTTTAAAACATTTGTGTGACACTCAAAAATAAGAAAATTGTTTTTTTCTTCATAGAATCGTTTCCGAACCGTTACAAAATCCGTATCTATTGTACAGTAATAATGTACCGTATCAATTGAACGATTATCAATGTAATAAAATAATGAATATTGAAAGAACAGAAAATTATTGTTGTAAGTATTAAATATAAAATCGTACATTATTATATTAATCCTAATCATTGATTTTTTTCTAGGCGATATTGAACGTGAAAAAATGAAAGATGAATCAATCAAGCACGACACATTTGATTCTTGTAAAATCATTTTGTTTTATAAAATATGACTCATTACATCACTTAAGCTTACTTTTTCTAATGTTTTTAGACGGTGCAACAAAATTGCGTACTAATCTATCGGGAACAAATCATTCATCTCCACATTGGTTAGCAAATACTGCTGAGTCGAAAAATAGTGGTACAAATTCACGTTCTGGCTCTAATCCATCGTCCGAATTTAGTTGTTTAACACAAAATACAATGATATTACCAATATTTTCGGATTCTGAAATAGTATGTCAAACCGATATAACACATTACGGTTTTCCGTCACAATCATCGAGAACTTTAACAAATACAAAACTAAACAATATTAATAATGATCAAAATTCACGTTCAATACTAAACAATTTTCCATCATCATCTATCGTAATGATTGATAACAATGGTATCCGACCAATGGATAGTGCCTCCTCTACTCCAAATCGAATAAAAAAGTTATTCTATGAAGTTGTTGTTTGATTAAAAACAAACTATTAAAGAAACAATGGTCAAAAGTTTTGTGATAAAAAATTATTAATATTAAATTTTTCTTTTTTTATTTATTTGATACCGGTGAAATTATATTCTCAGATGTATTGTGTGTTTATGTATGTCTTTGAAATATTTGTGTTTTTTATACTCATTTAAATAAATAACTATTGTGAAAGTATATTTGTGTATATTTCAAATTATCCATGTCAAAATGCAGTCTAACTGTATAGACATTCTGCTATTATTAAATTTTACAAAAGTTCAAAACATTTTAAATTATCTGAAAAACGAAGAATACAGTTTTATTAGAGTTTATGATGTCAAATAGCCACTTTTCATTCTTAAATTTCTCATAGTCACAGCTCGACGTAATTTTTGAATTTCTTTCTGAGTTTTATCGTATAAATCTTTCAACTGTTCAATTGCTTTATATCCACGACCACCTTCAAGAACTTGAGTGATATTAGTAGTTAATGTTTCAAGTATTGGTAGAACATTTTTGAATTGAGGTTCCGAATCACCATAACCATCAGCTGATACAGCGACAAATTCACAAATACGATGTAATGTGTTAACATATTGTGCCATACTTTGCGTATGTTTTGATAATTGTTCACGTTTATCAATTTGTTTTTGTATTGTATCACTATTAAATGTATCCAATGGTATTGTACTAATCAATCGTTTGGCATGTTCCATACGTTTGTTTTGTAATTCATAGAAACGTTCACGTCGATGTAATATGGCTGTATAATAATGTTTTAGAGCGTCGTTATGTTCTTTAAGTAACGTTTCTACTTGCATATCAACTGCTGGTTTTGGACATTTAAACGATCCATCTGGTGCCGTATGCTCACTCCACCAACCGTAGCAAGTCCAACAAAACTGAGCACCACACAAACAGGTCATATGATTACATCCTAAAACAAAATCGTAACAGATACGTGTGCTACTACTAAACAACAGTAGATACATACCACCATTTTTGTTGATGAATTTATTACAACTTAAGCAGTTTCGGCCTTCTACTTTGATAATAGCATTAAAATCTGATATTAGATCGCCATTACGATAGACTTCAGTCATATATAATTTATAGGATTTACACAGAGCTGGAAAATGAGGTTCTTCTTTGCACGATAAACAAAATTCATGACCGCAACGACAGCGGACAAAATCTGAACTACTGTCAGTAATACGAACAATATTATTACATGATTTATTCGGACATTTTATAAATGTGCGTGAAAAATTAACCAAACAAGTTTCAATATTACGTTCATATTTGTTAAGACAACGGACGTTAACTAATGATACAAATGTACCTGAAATAAAAATAGAGAGGCGTATAAAAAAACGAAATTCTAGTTACCCTGATCTCATTCACAAGTTTATGCCTAACACATAGTTGGCATTCAGGCGGAAATTAGGTGAAAAGTCGAAGTTGCTCCTAATTCAAATACAAATAGTGGAAAATGTAGCCCTTTCAAAGGGCTATCGAATGGTATATAAATGCCTATTTTGAAAATGGTTCCTACGACGAGAAATCACGGTACACAATACCGATTACGGATATCGTTACTACACACGAAATAAAGATTCTTTGCTTACTCAATTATGGTACGCGATTTCAAAGCAGATATTCAGAACCAGCACGTCTTCAGCTATCTATTGATAACAAAATATTTCTATTTCGGCACCGAATTCAATAAGTAAGAGCGACATGTTCTCCATCACGTCAGTCCGTAGTAACAGTACTCCAGTATAGTCGGGTCGCCCTCGTTAGCCCCACGCGAAAATAACATTCAAACACACCAAAATGTTCCTCAAACGCTACTCTATGTATTCTAAAATCGCAAAATCTCGGAACATTTTCTCGGAAACCATATTTTCCAGGGAGGTTTTATGGATTTTCCAAAACCTCAAGGGGTTTTCGCATATTTCACATTTTTCTCTGTCACCAAAGCACTTTTTCGTACAAATAATGCCATATTCGGAATCACCGTGAAAAACTGCATTGAATGATGTATAGCTTTTTAATTTTTCTGCAGAAATATTTTCGATCAAATTGAATTATAGACTTGAAAGCTTGTCCGCAGCAAATTTTGCTTAGGAATTTGGATATTTATTTTAGCAATAGTACACAAGTCTATAAACACATTTTTTATAGGTTTTCGAATATGATCTTTCGAATAGTGAGGTTCTCGAAATGCAAAAACATTTTTTATGGGTTTTCTAGAGATTCGGCCTCCAGAAAACTCACAAGGAATTACTTTTGAGTACTGAAAATCTCATCATTAGAAAGAGCATATTCGAAAACCTATAGAAGAGCGTGTTTATAGGCTTTCATACCACTTCTACAGCATATGTCCGTCTGCTCTATAGAAAAATGCCCACTGTGTAACACTATTACATCAAACATGAGCCGATTGCTTATAACTTTATAATGAAGACTATCTCTTACCAACATCGAGAACTGAGTTACAATTCCATTCGGGACACGTGATGACACTATTTCGTTTAATTGAAGTTTGAATATATTGATCCCAACACTGATTACATAACCAATGAGCGCATGTTTTCAGTGCCGTTGCTTCCGTTGTTAAATCCATATCACAATAACAGTTGGTACATAATGACGGTTTAATCAATTCATATTCGTTCAATGTATCATCTTCTCCTTCTTCTTCAGTTATTGTTGATGATGATGGTAAAGTATGCTTTGTTGTCTGATCAATTAATTGCAATTGTCCTATTTGATGATTGACAAATTCTGTCTCACTCATATAATTAAACTCATCATCATTATATTTTCGTCGATGTAATTCATTTTCAATTGGTTTGAATACATCTAATGGTAAACTTGTAATAAAATCGACACATTTTTCAATTAGTTCATTCATCGAATACGGTGAACTATCATTGAGATTTTCTAACGATAATGTAGAAGAATATACATCGATATTTATTGCACAACGTGCATGCACATAATCCGATGACGTTGCTAATGTATTATCATCAAATAATATAATTAAATATGTTTCCAATGTACAATAAAACGGAAACAAATCAAAACATGCTTGAAAATCTTGATCTAATTTATTTTGTCTTGATTTACTTAACAATTCTTCCCAATGAGCTCGAAAACGACTAGCTGCTTGTTTCACTTTATCCGTAATACGTATCAAATATTTGACAGGATAACATTGGGCATGTATAAAATTACTACCATAGTCTTTAGTTAATTTATCTAATTGAATATCGGAACGATGTAACAATGTCGAACGAAAACACATTTTCATCAATTGGTGATTTGATTTTTGTTCAGTGATAGCTGATGCTTCATTATTATTCTAGAAAAGAAAGATATGATTGTATTTTGAAATGGTATTTTTTAATTTATCAACAGCATGCAAAATAAAGAAGATGAGATAACAATTAGCAATTTATATATCTGAAGGATCTGCCTTAAAAAAAAGTATTTCATAGTTATTTTATTTTTTTCTCGGACTGACAGGTTGAAGGAAAGAGTTTAAATATTTTGGGACTCTCAACGCTCAATCTATCTCTAAAGATATAAAAGTAGGCTTTACAACTATTCAGTCCTAAATTATACTACTTCACAAAATCATACCGATTTATCGTCGTTATCCCCATCGTTTGCTGAAACTTGAGATTTGTAATGTTTCATAGCTTTATTGTATAATCTTTCTTCACGACTGGCTTGTCGACGGAATTTTTTCGCACTGATACTACTTTTGTTGTCATTTTTATTCTTAGCTATATTCTTTAATTCTTTCAAATGTTCCTGATGTTTTCCATGTTCTTCCGGCATGTAAATAACTGAACCTTTTGTATCTTTAATTAAAGTATCATTGTCAGTATACGAAACTGTTGTTCGTTTTTCTTCATTTTCATTATTATTGTTTATAAAACTGTTCAGCATTATTTGTGGAAACGTTGATTGATAATAAGGTGTTTCAGGTGTCACAGGTATATCATCCATATTATCATTGATGTGTTCGACAATATCAAGATGTTCTTGAACTTGTGTGTATCGAGCACGTTGGATACTACCATTTGTTTTTTTAGCTAAAATATAATGTACGTTTAATCTAACTCTATGTATCATAGTCAAACAAACATACCTTTTCCTTGATGTTTACGAATATTTGATAGTCTTGCTGGAGGTGGAGTGATGGCATAATACGAAACATCGACATCTCTGTCACCACTATTTTCTTCCATCCCAGCTTCATTTCCTGTATTTCTTCGCTCATCTCTTACTAATTGTCGTTGATTACCTGTTTGTTGTTGTTCGCCTGTATTATTATTATGTCTCGGATTCATGATTTGGCCTGGTGTGTTTAATTGCATATACGTTTTTTGAGGTGTTCGGTTTCGCTGTTCACCTACATTACTTGTGATACCAATACAATTTGCTTGTTTTTCAGTGTTGTGAAATTCATATAAACGATATCTTGATTTTTGTTTCCAACGATTATTTTTACTATTTGGATTATTATTCTGTTCTTCTCCTTCTTCTTCAGACGATGATGATGTTGTTGATCCATTAGTAATTTCATCTCGAAATTTTTTTAATAAATGCCATCGTTTATGTTTATTTAGTGAATATTGTACGTTTTGATCACGAATGCCAAAATAATCATCGCCAACCGGTGCTGTTGTCTCATTCCACAAGGCATGAATGTAGGAATGATTCGATTGATTTGGATTGTTACGTCTAAAGGTAGTTTTTCCTTTAATGTCTTTCTCTTTTGATGGTCGTAAGTTCGGCTTTTCATTCCAAGAAGCCATACTACACATAAACACACACAAATACTAGACACAATATAAAGCTAATCTAATAAATAAAACTTGACTATCTGTTGAAAATATCCCACAAAATCTGACTTTAAAAAAGTAAAGCGAGTTGTTAGTATATAAACATAGTTTAAATCGTTTAATAAATTGCGAAATAACCTCACATGAATCAAGCAACCTTTTAACAAAGTCTTTCGAAATAACTTCTTTCTTTTCTTTTTCTAATTCAGTTTTGATATATTTATTCCCTGTCATGACAGGAAAAAAATATCGCTCGACCTTAACCGCTCACATGAAGAAAAAGAATTTTGACAATGGTGATGACACAATATTTAGAATAGATGAAAAAGTGAAAATACAGTGGACACTTTTTTTCTTGTTACCTCTATCAAACGAGAAGAAAGAAGAAATTTAATAGTCGAACAAATGTAATGTTTCTATTTACGAAGGAACCCTTATATGTAACATCATTGTCATTAAATAGCACATGTTTATCTTATTATTTTTGTTCTTGATTGTTGATATTTTTGTTCTTTTCCTTAATACCATGAAAGGCTACAATCAATGAATCGTAAACGAAAGAAGCAGACCGCCCTCTGAGCAAGTCATATGTATTTATTGGAGAATACTCATAACGAATATTTCAAATTATTTTACTTCGTTTGTTACACTAACACATGCTTGTATATTGCTTAATTTGTATGATATACATTATAGTCACTTGCCCCTTAGAGGGAAGCGATCTACCATATTTAGGCAATTATGCAGCACAGTACCTGCTTGCACTGACTTCTGAGCGATGTTAGTCCATTATTAATAATTCTTATATACTGTCAATATCGAATTAACAGACATATCTTTGTTGTTTTGTCAGTCATAGAAAAAAGAGTACTTGCACCTGCCATGTGATTACTTTACCAGCGTTTGCTCTTTTGATATTCATATTCAATGAACTTACAAATTAAGAATAACGTCTTGCGCGAGACAAGCTTTATATAGTATCATTTAGAGATGGCTCTTCATCACGGAAAAAATCTTTATCGTACATAGAAACAAAATATGACTGCTTGAACATCCTGGGTGGAGATGTGAGCCAATCTTCAGATCAGCGGCTAGCCGCGTATGTATTTGCAAAGTTGAAAAAATTCCTATATACTGAAAATAAATCAGTTGCAAGGGTACATTTATTAAATGTCACATTTGAAATCCAGCATTTTCAATCGGCGCTTCGAGGTCGCAAAATATTTCTCAAATATGAGATTGTTTCTGCTAATGCAAACAATTAGATTGATGCAAAAGTATTCATTCGTGGTTGAATCGAATAAAATCTAATCAAAATCTGATTCGCTTGAAGCGTTAAACCAATAAAAATATTTTGTTTTCCTCTCAACTTAAAAACTCGAGTGATAAACGCTAGCCATGAAGATGAGCTATTACATGTGTGATCCACTCTGCTCTTTGACAACTAAGTAATTGATACACTTTAGTAACTTCATAATCTTCCCACTAGACACCTGGAGAAATTAAACATAACAAGAGTTTACTTTTACCTGATTTGAGCTCGATGGGTCTAAGAAGATCAATTAGAAATTCATTAACATGAAGAATAAAGGACAAAGATTGTTTTCGAGTTAATAGAATTCAGTGACATTATTTCTGTAAAGTTCCTCGTTTTATTTTGCAGATTGACGTTGCGTTTACAGTGTAAGCGTTACAAACAAATACATTCACATTTCAATGGACAAATGGAATTTCATGAAGTCGTCTGGAATGAGTTCAAATTTACCATGGTTGCACCACCAGAACGTAAGGTACAATGAACATAATTTCACTGGTGAGATTGTTTTTGTTTAGCATCTCATTCACATAATCTGTGTTGTTATCACTCGGTTAATGTTAATACAAACAAACGCGCTTTTTTGTATGCCTTTTGTTGTTTTCTAGACAAGAACCTACGGCATCATTGGTAGTTTCCCATCCGACCTTCAATAGTCAAGACAATGATAAAAGTTTAAGAAAACGTAAATTTTATTCGGATGAGCTAGAAGAGAGGTAAGAGATTGTTCGATTCTAGCTCAGATTGAAAATTCATGTTATTTTGGTTTTTTTATTATAGATCGTCTAATAAAATGTTTTTGACGGAAGAAAAAATGATAAAAGAACTCGAAACATTATCACTGGAACTGTCTAATACTAATGATGAAGTAAATAATTACACATTGTCATCCTTAGCACAGATAGATGATCGAAAAGAACAGTAGGTTAATCTCATTTTTCTTCTACCAATAACTGCTAATTTTGTTGTAGAACACCAATTGTCGTTGAGCTAGGAGAAAATGATGATGAAATTGATATTCCCACCAATTTGACTGATTTTTCTACAAAATCAATTACTGAAACAGATGAAGACGATGTACTTGAGACAGCAAATGAAAAACAACGCTTCGAATTACATCAGCTTGTTAAAGAAAATTGGAAACGAAACGGTAATCTTATTGAAACAGACGAAACGAATTTATTAAATAAATTATTCGAACTTGAAAGGTAACGTTTTAAAATGTCAAAAAGTTTTCTAACATGAAAAACTTATTTTATTTTAGAAAAAAGTTGTCAATGCAGTTAGTTCCATATATGTCAGTAATACCGTCACATTTGAGAACTGAAAATATATCACAATCCAATACATCTGTTAAAATTGAAGAACAAGTTGATGATGATAAAGATGTTTCAACAATAACAGTATCAACAACAGCAGAAAATCAATCAGACAAGAACACAAATATAGATGGCAATCATTTATTTAAAAAACCATTTGCTGTCAAGAAAATACCATCATCCGATAATTATACAGTTGAAGAACCACCGGAAATTGAACGAAAGACACAACGAACAATGAAGAGGTAGTAATTTTAGTATAATGATACTTTTTAACAAGAGTATGAAGAAAGAGTTAGCGTGAGAAAAAAAGACGATAACGAATTAAGGAATGAAAATTTATAAACTTATTCAGAAAGACCGACTAACATGCTGAAAATTATTTTTTGTACATCTTATCAGCAAGTTTATTTCTTTTTTCTCTAGTATTATATATGTTTTGTAGGAGCTATTCTCAATCAGCACGTTTTAATAACAATTTGACAATTGTTGAGATTAAAGATAATATACCGTCCGAAACATATTGTGATTCATTTAATGATGATTCCAGATGCCGAGAATCACAGCCATCACATACTGTTAGTGAACCAGCAACACCAAGGTAAAAACATTTTACATAAAGTCTAGTAAAAAAAAAATCTATTTTTAAATTATTTTTTGTTTTATCAGGCTTCTGGATTCAGGATTAAGTTATGGAACATCTTCATTACCTTTGAATAATTCATCCGTTAGAATAACAGAATTTTTTGATAAAAATGATTTTTCGTCTTCATTTGATGATGATATGGTGTCCATTTCATCTTCTGATGTCGAGAAAATGGATGCTGATTCCATTATTGATATGGAATAATAATTTTGTTATGTTTTTGCGTTTTTGTAAATAATAATTAAGCACACACATTTATCTTTTTTACTATTGATATTGACTTAGCTTATGCATTAGCGCAAACCTAACACGCTTGCTCTATAAGTTCATGATACAATTTATATATAATGCTCTTTTAAAGCAACTTCTGTACGGTATTGAACAAAAGTATTCAATTACACTGTATTTCAAGAATATTCAATCAAATTGAAATTGTGAATGGCTATAGCTCATGCCATATGCTGATTACCTCGAAACCTTTCAATCAGTGGTTCTGAAAACATCGCATTCTTATTTTGTATCTATAGGAGATGAAATATTTTCCCAGAACGTCGTGTTGATTGTCCATGAGAGACAGGATTTGTATAAAATGCAAGCAAACGACAATCAAACGTCTCTGGTACAGTAAACGTGAAGAATCAACGTTCGCTCTCACTACTATATCCTCACTGAAACCGTAGCGTCGGATTCATGTAAAAAATAATTACAAATTCTCATAGTTGTCGCAATCCACATCATACTTTAACGGAGATTAAATAGTGTTTGTCATTGATCCGATACGAATTACTTTGCCATTTTTACACATAATTACGACGAATGATGTCGAGTAACGATGAAGGTAGGTCGAAGTATCTTTAACCAAGTTATACATCCCAGAAAGTTTCATAGCTATCAAACTTGTATTTTGCAGTTTGTAGGGTTTGTTTGGAGTATAAATTATGTATGGGTCCCTGGGTATGAGATTCGGATATTGGTCAAGGCAACAGGTTTTCTTCATCGAAGATACACACTTTTGTGCAGAAAGGTCTGGTCTATACGGTTGTCGAACTTTCAAAATTTTGCCGTTCGATCACCTCTGTCGCATACAGCTCACCGATTTTTCATTTTGTAGGAAATGTTTGCTGTACAGATATAGCATTATGAAAAATGTCACCTTCAGATTTGTTTGAACAGTTAACTTTATGAAAAAATCACGTTAATAAGATTCGACATACGTTTACTCCCAAAGTTATCTATAATTGGCTAATTCTTCTGTTATTTTGTTACAAGTATATTTCTTCTACGGCCATTTCACATAACTCTGCTACCTGAAAACTCAGATTCAAAAATCCATTACATTTGCACACAGGATGCTCTACACACACAAACATACAGTATAGAGAACAATTGTTACTTAATGATGAATCACATAGTACACCAATCATCATATATCGACGATTGTTTAACACTAGAACGCCCGTAGCATTTTGACCGTTTTGTGATTTTTATCCTTAATAAAACAAACTGTATACAATTTATTTAAAAATAAATTATGTCATAACTTTTAATTTGTCCCACAAAAATTATTTTTTGCAGAATTTTTAATTCAT